CTCAGCTGATCAAATCTTTGCTCTACCCCCTCCGAACACCAGGAGGCGACACAACAGCCAATAAAAAAATAAGAACAACGCCTTTGAACGAGCAGAGGACGCCGTCTCAGATTACTCTCTCCTGATTGGTCGGTCTCTTTGGTTTTTCTGTCTCTTATAATGAAGTTAATGTTACAGACCTCGCTGTAGAAAGATGGAGGCCTGAATGGACAAATTTCATTATTCTTGACTATTAAAAAAAACAGATTTTTTACAGTCAAGAATAATCAAGAATCAGACAATAACACCACACTCTGCAAACACACAAACCTCATATTCAGGTGTCACAGCAAAGAGCAGCAGGATATGATAATCATATGATAATCATACCATTACCACATTAATACACCGATTTATAATGATTACATCTTTGAAGATAATCTCAAGATTATATTTTACAGTATCACAATAATAACAATAATATATCTATGACGTCAATCTAATAGAATTAAAACACAGAATCCCATAAATAATGATGTACTCAGAGTGATCACCCTGATTATAATATTAACACTCTTAGAACATTATCGTTTTAATGAGCAAATATCTGAAATTATAGTTTTCACTGTCGTACACAGAGATTGAGCTTAGATGACAGGGGACTGTAGGTCTTTAGTAGGTCTTTAGTAGGTCTTTAGTAGGTCTTTAGTAGGTCTTTAGTAGGTCTTTAGTAGGTCTTTAGTAGGTCTTTAGTAGTTCTTTGGTAGTTTTATAACAGATTATTCATAGATAATAACAGTTTGATTTAAATGGTCGTTGGTTGTTAATGTAGTTTTTAAGTTGTAGTTTGGTGGTATTTTATATTGGTTAGTTTTTTTTCACTTCTTCAAAGGTTATGAAGTGTTTTGTCAGTAGTTGTTTAGTGTTTCTTTAGTAGTTGTTGTTTGTTATTTTCAGTTGTTGTTTAGTGTTTTCTTTAGTAGTTGTTTAGTGTTTCTTTAGTTGTTGTTTGTTATTTTCAGTTGTTGTTTAGTGTTTCTTTAGTCATTTTTTGGTCGTTCTTTGTCTTTAGATCAGACTTACAGTTCTGATGGAGAGAGCTTCGTCTCTCTGCTCCTTTGCAGCACTTGTCCTCTCTCCTTCCTCGTCCTCCAGAATTCGAACAAAGACATCCTGCAGCTGTCTCCCTGCACCTGTCCAACCAGATACCTGTCCCCTTCTCTGTGTGTCTCCGTGTGTGTGTCTCCGTGTGTGTGTGTCTCTGTCTGTGTGTGTGTCTTCAGTGGACCACCACTCCCTTCTCTCCTCTCTGTCTTCACTCCCTCCTCTTCATACCCTCCAGAACAGTTCATCTTCAGAGTTGCAGCCTCAGCCATATTAGCTCCACCCTGTAGTCCCATCTCCTGTTGATTGACTGTTGCCATGGAAACAGTAATGCTTTGTCCATCCCTCTATCTCTGGTGAGATGTTGATCCTGTGGTTCTGACTGCAGCTCCATACAGCTCTGCTCGCCTTCAGCCTCTGATTTCATCATCTCACTATTAAAACACACACACACACACACACACACACACACACACACACACACACACACACACACACACACACACACACACACACACACACACACACACACACACTTCCTGTTGTACACTCTTTTCTTAAGAACATCAGGCTCTGTTCCTGGAAACAATCAAAGGTCCAGCACACACACACACACACACACACACACACACACACACACACACACACACACACACACACACACACGCATGCACACAAAGTAAAAACAGAAGAAAGAGCTCAACTGTAATTTGGTTGAAAGTCAGTGAAAAACACTGAGAACATTCATCTGCTACACACACATACACACATACACACACACACACACACACACACACACACACACACACACACACAATCACTCCAACACGCACAAAAATACACACTGAAGCATCCAAAGGAGTGATTGTATTGCAAGAACTGATTAACAGACGACCCCTGACCTCTAAGTGAAAGAAAGAAAAAAGAAAGAAAAAAGAGAGATAGAAAAAAGACAGAGAGAGAGAAAAAAGAGAAAAAAGAAGAAAGAAAGGAAGAAACAAAAAATTATAAAGAAAAAAACAGGACGAAAAAAGAGAAAAAAGAAAAACGAAGGAAAGAAAGAAAGCAAGAGAGAAAAACGAAAGAAAAGATTATAAAGAAAAAATCAGAATGAAAGAAAAAGAAAAAAGAAAGAAAGAAAGAAAGACAGAAAAGTTGAAAGTCTTGACGACCTGGCCGAGGTGTTGCCCAGTCATCCTCAGACAGAGAGACTAAGGGGCGTATTTCTGACAACATTTTCTGTTTATATGTTGATTAAAGAAACTCTCAAACTCTGTTAGAATAACGGAGAAAAAAGAAATCTGCGCTCTAAAGTGATTATCAGAAATCACTAATAAATCAGAAATAAACTGTATATATAAAGAGTCTCTGGTCGTGGTGTGTGTGTGTGTGTGCGTGTGTGCGTGTACTGTCTCTTTAAAGGTTTGAAGGGACGGCGCGCTCGCGCAGACAGACAGACCGTTCTCACTGACGTCACGCGGCTCCATGAGGAGGAGGTGGACAAGATGGCGGCGGCGGTGCTCGAGCGCAGCTTCATCGAGATCTGTGGGTTTGAGCGGGAAACGGCGACCCGGGTCCGAGAGGTGACCGTAAACCTGGGTACGGAGGAGTCCAAAGTCCGGGGTCCGGCAGGTTTATACTGAGAACCGGTACCGCAGGGTTCGGACGGGAGAACCGGAGCTAACCGGCTAACACGCTGTTATCTGGACCTCCTGAGTCCGGCAGAGACCGGGTCTGTAACCGGACTCTGAAATCCAGGATCTAGAGAGGGACTCGGGGTTTGGTACCAGGAGTTAGTCTAAGTTCTGGGTTCGGGTCTGTCAGAGCCTCATGGTGGTACAGGGCAGGAGCATTAGCTTAGCATCAGGAGGTCCGACCCACCTGACCCCGAACCCAGACTTACTGTCCGGGTTTATTAAGGACCCTAAAGTTCGGTTCTGATCCACCTGCTGTCAGGGAGGAACCAGGTCCAGTTCTGATCAGAACCGTCTTATTTTGACCCCTTTAGATGTAGACCACAGGATCCATGAGGGTCCACTGAGACCGGTTCAGGTTCGGTCTGCTGGAGCAGAATATTCTAGAGAGACTAAAGAGGGTCTTTGTGAACAGGTTTTACTTTAATGTCATTAAATTAAATTAAATGTATTTAAATTAAATTAAATTAAATTTATTTTAATTAAATTAATTTTTTTAAATTAAATTAAATTAAATTAAATGTATTTTTTAAATCGACTGTTTCTTTAGATGAAAAAGTCCTCATAGTCTTCATCTGAGGATCCAGAACCTGGGGCCTCATTAATCAGCCGATCAATAACAATCACCATGACAGTGAATTCAGAGGGTCTGTGGTCACATGACCTTCATGTCTCTGTCCCTCAGGTGTCTCCGCTCTTCCTGGAGGACAGAAGTTTCCGGACAGCGCCGGAGCGTTTCACTACGAGGAGAGCGGGAAACTGCTGTCTGTGACCAGCAACAGACTGATCCACTGGTGAGAGAGACAGACACACAGACACACACAGACAGACAGAAACAGACACACACACACACACACACACACAGACACACACACAGTCAGTAGGAGTCCGTCTCAGAAGGACCACCTCCGGTTCCTTTAATTTCATTAAAAACTAACTCTGAATAAAAACTCGGACGTCTGTGTTTTTGATCAGATTGAACAAAGACTGTTTGACCCTCAGATATAGAGACGTAAATATTAGATCCTCATCAGTCTCAGGTTAGTCTGTCAACATTCAGGGATCACCTCTGATCATCTTAGACTCTCTGTCCTCCTCCTGTCTCTCCCAGAGTTCGACAGTTCAACCGTTTCACTAAAAATCAATGTGAGCGAATTGTCAAATGTATTTAGGGTCACATAAAAAAATCAACAAATGTTGAATACGGTGAAGTTAGTTTTAGGTTGGATATATTTTTCTGTAAATACAGCGGTGAAGTTAGTTTTAGGTTGGATATATTTTCCTGTAAATACGGCGGTGAAGTTAGTTTCAGGTTGGATATATTTTCCTGTAAATACGGCGGTGAAGTTAGTTTCAGGTTGGATATATTCTCCTGTAAATATGGCGGTGAAGTTAGTTTCAGGTTGGATATATTTTCCTGTAAATACGGCGGTGAAGTTAGTTTCAGGTTGGATATATTTTCCTGTAAATACGGCGGTGAAGTTAGTTTCAGGTTGGATATATTTTCCTGTAAATACGGCGGTGAAGTTAGTTTTAGGTTGGATATATTTTCCTGTAAATACGCGGTGAAGTTAGTTTCAGGTTGGATATATTTTCCTGTAAATACGGCGGTGAAGTTAGTTTTAGGTTGGATATATTTTCCTGTAAATACGCGGTGAAGTTAGTTTCAGGTTGGATATATTTTCCTGTAAATACGCGGTGAAGTTAGTTTCAGGTTGGATATATTCTCCTGTAAATACGGCGGTGAAGTTAGTTTTAGGTTGGATATATTTTCCTGTAAATACGGCGGTGAAGTTAGTTTTAGGTTGGATATATTTTCCTGTAAATACGGCGGTGAAGTTAGTTTCAGGTTGGATATATTTTCCTGTAAATACGGCGGTGAAGTTAGTTTCAGGTTGGATATATTTTCCTGTAAATACGGCGGTGAAGTTAGTTTTAGGTTGGATATATTTTCCTGTAAATACGGCGGTGAAGTTAGTTTCAGGTTGGATATCTGACGGACATTCTCTGAGGATCTACCGGTGTCTTCTCTCTCTTCATAACCGGGAATAACAACAGCAGCGCGGTTAAATCTACTCGACACCCTCACTGTCAACGTCGGTGTTGAATAAGGGACCGTCAATAAATTACCGGTTGATGTTCTCAGAAAAGGCTGTTTTCCTTCAATAGCTTCACTGTCATGTGACCAAAAGACCTAAAATTGATTTCTAATAATAGTACTAA